CTAATAAAATGTCCTTTGAAGCTTTCTTTGCACCCCAGCATGGGGCACTTTTGACTACATTAAAAACCTGTCTGGCAGATATCCTTTCTTCTCAATGATTTTCTTTGCTGGGAATTCCTTTGCTGCCTCTTGGTTGGCAGAAGCTCTCCTCCTGTTATCTTGACATTTTAAAAGTCAGACCTCTTTTTTAAAATCATCAAACCATCCTTTGCTGGCATTCCATTCTCCAGCTTTAGATCCTTCACCTTCCTTTTGCTCTAAGTTGTCATATAATGACTTCACCTTTTGAATCATATTCATCTATAGGTATGTCTTTCTTATAACAATCCTGCCCCACACATAAAAGCTACATTTTCAATACGAGATAAAAAGGCATTTTACGAAAAGCTCAAGGTTTTCACACCTGCTGTAGCTGCAGCAACAGCTTCATGAATTTCCTTTCCTTTTTCTTTTTTTACAATGGTCCTTTCACTGAACTCATTTGTCTTGAAGTGGCGGGCAGCCGCAGCTGCAGACCTGACCCTCGGTGCATATCAAGCCATTTACCCTTTTGTCACTTTTCTCTGCTTCTTGGGAGCACTTCCAGCATTACATATCATATGGGTCCGTGCTATTATTCAAGGTTTACGGTATTGCACTAAACATGATGAAAACTGTGAGAGAACTTAAAACTCAATTTCGTACTGCAAGGAAATTGACTAGAGAGACAACTGGTCACATGATGATGAGTCTCACGTGGAGTTTCAAACAGATACTTGCAGCATTTGTGCTCAGTGCTGTAGCAATAGGAGGTGCTAGGAAATTTTTACAGTGTTACAGTCTATACTGCGTCTTTACCTTTGTTTACATTTCTGTCAACTGGGAGTGGTACTGTACTGGTCTGTTTGTGTGAGTACATTTTGATACATTTTAACTTTAAAAAAATACATGTATATTTTATGATAGTAAATGATAGAGTTGTATCTACATGTATTTTATGCATTCATGATACACCTAAGTTTTTCTTAATTTTTTTGGATATTACTATGTTATGGGGTGTATCTGTGAGACTTTTCAAATTGTCACAAATCTTCAAAACCTTTTATATAAATAGCAATTTACAAAAATTTTATGTATATATATATATATATATATATATATATAAAAGAACTATATATATATATATATATATATATGTATGTGTGTATGTAGAAAAAAACACATACACGTGGGCCTGCACTCTTCCAAACCTTGTTGTTCAAAGATCAACTGTATGTTGAATTGAATGGAATTACCATTTTATTTAAAATAGAAAATAATTGAATTTATATTACAATTCATGAAATAATTATCATAATACAATAATTGCAGCTAAGATTTTTTGAAAATGCTTATGTGTTGGGCTTGGTACCAAACTAGTTATTTCATGTGGCTTATTTCATTGAATTCTCACAACTGTGTGCCTGTGTGTGTGTGTGTGTGTGAATTCCCCATATTATACATCAGGGAATAGGTGTAGAGAGGGTGAGTGACTTGACTCAGGACACAACCCTAGTGGTAGAGCCAGAGTTTGAACCTGGTACATCTGACTTCCGGTGCATCTGACTGCCTTGCCAGGGCTCAGTCATTCTTCTTTCTGAGTTTTAGGTTAAGTTTGCCACTTCAGATTAAATCTGCCCTTCAGCTCTTCTCCTAATGGGGAGATTAATGATGTTTCTTTCTTTTTTTTACAAAAAGAAAATTTTATACTTAATGCTGAGTTGTCTTGGCAACACAGAGTGAGTTAAGTATCAAGCTTTTATGTAAAACCTTGATTCACTTAAGATTTTAGATTTCAGTAACTTAAAAAATTACCCATCTCCAATACTGACATGAAATACATTCTTAGAATTGCAGTTAGATAGTCATAAAAGAAGATAAACCTTCCACTTTTAGATTGTTCTGATTTTAGCCTGTATTGTGTTGATTTTGATGGCTTGGGTATTTATTTGCATTTGCTTATTTCCAAGTAGATTGTGTGTATGTGTGTGTGTGTGTGTGTGTGTGTGTGTGTGTGTAAAATAAAGTCACCTCCTGGAAACTAAAGCACAAGCAAGCAGTGAAAGCTAACTTTATTTTCTCCAGATTTGTTCTTCCTTAAGGTGATAGTGACTGGGATTTAATTATTTTAAGAAACCAGGATAAAGGTGATGATAAAAACACATCCTTAATGAATTTTTTTGTGTGTGTGTGGTAGGCCGTCTGCTAAAGCCTTTCCATGCATTATCTCATCTAATTCTAACAAACATTCTTTGGGGTAAATACTTCTTATAGTGAAGAAAACTGCATTTCAGAGATGACTAAGAAATGACTGAGAAGGTGTATGAATATGCTCCTCCCCACTTCCAATCTTGGTGAGGAATATTATACTCTTTAGAAAGAATATAATTTTCAAAAAGTACCTGGAGAAAGTAGCATGGATGCATATACACTAACATATGTAAATAGATAGCCAATGGGAATCTCTTGTATGACTCAGGGAACTCAAACTGGGGCTCTGTAATAACCTAGAGGCGCGGGAATGGACTGGAGCTGAGAGGGAGATTCAAGAGGGAGGGGACATATGTATAATCTGTGGTTAACTCCCTTGGACTTCAAGGAGATCAAACCAGTCAGTCCTAAAGGAAATCAGTTCTGAATATTCACTGGAAGGACTGATGCTGAAGCTGAAGCTCCAATACTTTGGCCACCTGATGCAAAGAACCGATTTATTAGAGAAGACTGTGGTGCTGGGAAAGATTGAAAGCAGGAGGAGAAGGGGACAGCAGAGGATGAGGATGGCATCACTGACTCAATGGACATGAATTTGAGCAAGTTCTGGGAGAAGGGAAGCCTGGCGTGCGCAGTCCATGAGGTCGCAAAGAGATGTGATTGAGTGGTTAATTCATGATGTATGTCAGAAATGAAACCAGTATTGTAAACCAATCGTCAATCAATTAAAAATAAATAAATCTTAAAAAATAAAGAACCTAGAGAGAGCACCAAATCCTAACCATTAGACCACTAAGGAGACATTACCATATGTAAAACAGATATCCAGTGGGAATTTGCTATGTGATGCAGGGAGCTCAAATCCAGTGTTCTGTGACCACCTAGAGGGCTGGGGTGGGTGGGGTGGGAGGAGAGAGGGAAGTTCAAGTGGGAGGAGGCATATTTATACCTGTGGCTGATTCATGTTGCTGTATGGCAGAAACCAACACAGTATTGTAATTATCCTCCAATGAAAAATAAATAAGTAATAATAAAAAAGAACTGAGAGATAATGGACAGAAATGTCTGAAGTAAAGAAGGTTTATTTTTATTGGCCTTCTTATGCTCTTTCCAAGCCTTTCCAACTCGGGTTAGATTGAGGGACACTAATGAATGCTTTCTATTTATTAAAAATAATTTTTTTTCTTTTTTTTTTTTTCCCCATGAATGCTTTTTGCGTTGAGTCAAAAGCAGTACTACTTGACCTATGCAGTCCACTCGAGTCACATTGGGGGCATTTAATAAATACCAATGTCTCAAGCTCATCCCCAAAGATCAAGATTTAATTGGCTTGGGATACTGCCTGGATGCTGAGATTTTTAAAAAATTCTTTAGGTTATTTCTCAACGTCTAACTACAGTGGAAATCCATGGTGTGTGCCAGTGGGTCCCTAAGCTTGACTGCACATTGGGATCACCTGGGGAGCTTCAAAAACTCCTGATGCCCAGGCCCCTCCCCCAGAGATGGTGATTTTATTGGCCTGGAGTTTGGAACTTTGAAGATAGTCCCAGGTGATTCCAGTGTATTTCTAACTTTGGAGACCGCTGGTTTAATACAGTGGTTTTCTTTTTTTAAAAAATGGTTTTAAACTGATAGAAATTTAAAAAGAAAAGTTATTTATTTGTTTGCCTGCACTGGGTCTGAGTTGTGGCACGTGGGATCTAGTTCCTGGACCAGGGATGGAACCTGGGCCTCCTGCATTAGGAGCGCAGAGTCTTAGCCGCTGGACCAGCAGGGAAGTCTCTGTGCAGTGGTTTTTTACCTTGGCTGCACATTAGAATCGCCTGAGAAACTGTTAAAGCTCCCATGACCCTGGCTTGCACCCACTCCAGTTAAATAGAACCTTTGGTGCTGGATCTTGGTGGCTCTAGTTTTCCACACTCTTAACTCAGAATACTTGAGGGACGAAGGGAGGCAATGATTAGTATAGGAGAGGCTATTCTTGGGCTTCCCTTGTGGTTCTCTTGGTAAAGAATCTGCCTGCAATGTGGGAGACCTGGGTTGCGAAGATCCCCTGGAGAAGGGAAAGGTTACCCACTCCAGTATTCTGGCCTAGAGAATTCCATGGACTATACACAGTCCATGGGGTCGCAAAGAGTTGGACACGACTGAGCGATTTTCACTTCACTTGCCTTATGTAGCTATACTGAGTTCATTTTCTTAGACCAACATGATGGAACGCAGAGCTAAGCAAATTATGGAAAGTAATGTATTCTGTGTTCCAAATAATTAGCTAATAATACAATTTGTTTTGCCTGCTTCATTGATATAGTTTAAATAGTATTAAAACCAAGGATGAGATTGCTGGTTTAATAATTCTAGGTTTTTCCTTTTTTTTCTGACTTAATGTGGCTCAGCTATTAAAGAATCTGTCTGCAATGCGGGAGACCTGGGTTTGATCCCTGGGTTGGAAAGATCCCTCAGAGAAGGAAATGGCAATGCACTCCAGTATTCTTGCCTGGAAAATCCCATGTGTGGAGGAGTCTGGCAGGCTACGGTCCATGGGGTCACAAAGAGTCGGACATGACTGAATGATTTCACTTTCAATAATTTTTAAGGGCCCTCCCCCCCAGCCCTTTTTTTTTTGTATTATTTGGCTGGTATCAAAAATGACTTTTCCCTCTAAAATTAAAGAACCATTAAGAAAAATAAAAATTTTTAAATTATGGAAAATAAAAGTGACATCCTCTATTTGTACCTTATTGAACATCATCCTTTCCACTGTCTTCCAGCAGTGCCAGGCGTCAAAGAAGAACGCTTTGAGGAAGGAATGACAGTAAAGCACTGTGCGTTGTCCCTCGTGGGAGAGCCCATCATGTACCCAGAAATCAACAAATTTTTGAAGCTACTTCACGAGTGTAAAATCTCCAGTTTCCTGGTCACAAATGCACAGTTCCCTGCAGAAATCAGGTGAGTGGTCTCACCTGTCAAGATGATGCTTCTTGAATCTGTGTTTAACTAAGAGGTAAAACTAACAGGTATTGATTCAGAAAGGATTTACTCATTTCTAACAATGTATAAATGTTGGCTTTGAGGGGTCAGAGCACCTGCTCCTAAACATCGATTCTATTGGGAAAGATAACATTTGTTTAAAGAACAGAGGCAAAAAAAATTGCTGGGGGAGTTCAACAGAGAAGTTTTTTTTTTTTTTTTTTTAAATAGGAGAAGTGGGGTAAAAACTTCTCTGAGAAGGCTTATTAAATTTGGGTCTCAAAATATGGCAGTGACAACCTAGAAGGCTGGGAGGGAGGTTCTAGAGGGAGGGAACATGTGGATACCTATGGCTGATTCATGTTGATGTATGGCAGAAACCGACACGATATTGTAAAGTAATTGTAGGGAGAGAGCAATTGGCCAGGTGGCGGTGGTCAGGCTCTCTTGCCCCACTCCCCTCACGTCCTACTAGCTGGGATCATCTGTGGCACTGCGCATGTGCGTGGTGGTGTGGTCTTGTGTGAGCACCACCTGAAAAGCTCTTAGAGGCAGAGTAGAGTTGTGCTGAGTTGCTGCTGCATCAGCCATGAGCCAATAAAGCATGTCTGCAGTTTATATGGCTCCTTGCATCTTCTTCCAGCTTCCCTGCCCATACCTTGCCTGCACTGGGTTCAGCAGACAGTGAGATACAGCGAGATAGTAATTATCCTAATTAAAAAAATAAATTTTAACAGTATGGCTGGGATTGGTACTTGGGGAGATAGGAAACTGTAGGTTTTTAATAGCCTTTCCTTTCTCCAGGGGATCTTCCCAACCCAGGGGTTGAAGCCAGGTCTCCTGCATTGCAGGCAGATTCTTTACCAGCTGAGCCGCCAGGGAAGCCCAGGAATACTGGAGTGGGCAGCCTATCCCTTTTCCAGCAGATCTTCCCGACCCAGGAATTAAACCTGGGTCTCCTGCGTTGCAGGCAGATTCTTTACCAACTGAGCTACCAGGGAAACCTAATTTAAAAAAATATAATAAATTTTAAAAATATGGCTGGGATTGGTACTTGAGGAGATAGGAAACTGTTGGGTTTTAATAAGAACTGCCTGAGAAAGATACAGAATTGGGGTCTTTGGGATACCACTATGTAAATATAGTTGATTTGGACCACAGAGGGTGCAAAAGAGCCTGGCAACTGGAAACCAACTTGAATAGGTTGGGGCGATGACTTCAAATGCTGTTCTTTAGGAAGATCTTGCTTTCTGCAGAGTAATCTGCCAGCATGTTTGTATAAAGTGGGAGGGCCAGGAAACAGGAAACTGGATAGGAGATGGTAAGGTTTGTTTAAGAGTTGTAAGGATGAAAGGAAGACAGAATGAGGAGTCTTCAAAAAGGTGTCATTGACATTATATTTGAAAATATGTGGATTATTTTCAGATATCTTTTGATGTTGATTTCTAACATAATTCCACAGTGATAAGAGAACAGATACTGTGATTTCAATACGTTTAGACCATGAAATTTTTCACCTTGTTTTACGTCCTTGGATATAGTCCAGTGTCTCCTAGTTTATCGTCTATGGGAACCTGAATTTGTATCCTACTGTTGTGTGAAAATTGTATAAATCTTAATTATGTTGAGTTGGTTCATGGTGCTTTTTGGATCTACCACATCCTTCTACTTTTCTGTCTATTCATTCTGTTAATTTTTGAGAGTTTGATATTGAAACTCCAACTAAAAGTCTTAATTTTTCTACTTAAAAAAATAATTGTAATATATAGTGGAACTATATGTCACTTTGTTCTGTGTTTTCCAAGTCTGCTGTATATGTGTTGTCATACTTTCATAATTTAAAAAATAAAAAAGGAAGAGAAAAAAAAAAGGTGTCATTGAGGCATGATAGATCAACAAACTTGGCAAGCTGGATGGCTCTGTGAGCCCTGCATAGAGGAGGACTTAGCTGGCGACTGGGAAAGTTCCGGCCAGCTTGATTGATAGGATTGTGGGGCCCTGTAACAGCAGAGGGATCACCCATACTCTGATCAAAGGAACTTTTGACTTTGTTCGCTGGTCTTCCCTTGACCTACATACAAGCGTTGCATTCAGGCTAGTGGCCTTTTCGGGATACTTAACTTTTCTTTAAGAGGATCTCAGTTTCTCCTCCAGCTCCAACGCATAGGGTTCTTTGCTGACAGTTCTCCCACAAGAAGGGAGTTTTCACAGTGACTGGTCCTTGAGGATTTATGGAAGATAGGAAAAAAACACTTTAGGCAGATGAGAAAGCTTTATGTTTTTATTTGTCAACATGGCGGCTAATAAAAGTGACCAGAATGTGACACTGAATGATAGAGCTGTTGATGATTAAACAACAACAAAAAACCCTTCTCTTGAGAAAAAGTCCTCTTAGTTCCACAAAAGCAAGTGTTTTTTTTTTTTCTTCATTTATTTTTATTAGTTGGAGGCTAACTACTTTACAATACTGTAGTGGATTTTGTCATACATTGACATGAATCAGCCATGGATTTACATGTATTCCCCTTCCTGATCCCCCCTCCCACCTCCCTCTCTACCCAATCCCTCTGGGTCTTCCCAGTGCACCAGGCCCGAGCACTTGTCTCATGCATCCAACCTGGGCTGGTGATCTGTTTCACTATAGATAATATACATGTTTCGATGCTGTTCTCTCGAAACATCCCACCCTCGCCTTCTCCCACAGAGTCCAAAATTCTGTTCTGTACATCTGTGTCTCTTTTTCTGTTTTGCATATAGGGTTATCATTACCATCTCTCTAAATTCTATATATATGTGTTAGTATGCTGTAATGTTCTTTATCTTTCTGGCTTACTTCACTCTGTATGATGGGCTCCAGTTTCATCCATCTCATTAGAACTGATTCAAATGAATTCTTTTTAATGGCTGAGTAATATTCCATGGTGTATATGTACCACAGCTTCCTTGTCCATTCGTCTGCTGATGGGCATCTAGGTTGCTTCCATGTCCTGGCTATTATAAACAGTGCTGCGATGAACATTGGGGTGCACGTGTCTCTTTCAGATCTGGTTTCCTCGGTGTGTATGCCCAGAAGTGGTATTGCTGGGTCATATGGCAGTTCTGTTTCCAGTTTTTTAAGAAATCTCCACACTGTTCTCCGTAGCGGCTGTACTAGTTTGCATTCCCACTAACAGTGTAAGAGGGTTCCCTTTTCTCCACACCCTCTCCAGCACTTATTGCTTGTAGACTTTTGGATAGCAGCCATCCTGACTGGCGTGTAATGGTACCTCATTGTGGTTTTGATTTGCATTTCTCTGATAATGAGTGATGTTGAGCATCTTTTCATGTGTTTGTTAGCCATCTGTATGTCTTCTTTGGAGAAATGTCTGTTTAGTTCTTTGGCCCATATTTTGATTGGGTCATTTATTTTTCTGGAATTGAGCTGTAGGAGTTGCTTGTATATTTTTGGGATTAATCCTTTGTCTCTTTTTTCATTTGCTATTATTTTCTCCCAATCTGAGGGCTGTCTTTTCACCTTGCTTATAGTTTCCTTTGTTGTGCAAAAGCTTTTAAGTTTAATTAGGTCCCATTTGTTTATTTTTGCTTTTATTTCCAACATTCTGGGAGGTGGGTCAGAGGATCCTGCTGTGATTTATGTCGGAGAGTGTTTTGCCTATGTTTTTCTCTAGGAGTTTTATAGTTTCTGGTCTTACATTTAGATCTTTAATCCATTTTGAGTTAAAAAACAAGTGTTTTTATAGTAGTATTTTTGATAGGCATTAACTGAGGTACCACAGCATGTATCAGTTATCTTTTGCTGTAGTCATTTTCCTTGGAACTGAGTCACTCAAACTCTCCACCATTCGTTTGGTTTCCAGGTCAGCGAACACTTTAGGTGGTGGGAAGCTGATGCATCTAGAGAGAGTAGAGATGCCAAGTGCCCTTTCCCCCTCATCTTTTTATCTGGCAGTTTTCTGAGTTGTAATCTTGAAAATAAACTAGTAATAGAAAGTAAACTGTATTCCCTGAACTCTGAGAGCTGTTCTAGCAGATTATCGAACCCAAGGAGGGGGTCATAGGGTGTCCAGATCCACAGGCAGTTGATCAGAAGCACAGGTGGCAACCCTGGGACCGTGACTGGTGTCAGAAGCAGGGGCAGCTTGGGACTGAGTCCTGACCCGGGAGGTCTGTGCTGACTCCAGGGATTTACTGTCAGAATAGAATTGAACACAGGACACCTAGCTGGTGTCTGCAGAGAACTACAGGACTCCTTGGTGTGGAGAGGAACCACACATCTGGTGTCAGAAGTGTTGTGAGTCAAAAACCAGATAAGAGTGTTCTGAAGTGATCTAAAAAAAAAAAAAAAATAGAGTGTTCTGAAGTGATCTAATGTCGTAAAAACAGCACTTCATACTTGGTTCTTAGCAATTTTTGCCAGATTTCCAAAAGACATTTCTTTTATGCAAAATCTCAGGATTTTAAATGTTGGCTCAAAAAAAGAGAAAAGTTTCTAAAGGTGGAGCTGGACAAATAAAACCTATTCCTTATCAATTGCCAGTTTGAGATTTCCAGTCTTAAGAACCCTCCAGGCCTTCCAACATAGCTCTGATTTTTTTTTTTTTAAATTGAATTCCTAAAGACTGAGTCCCAGTAGGTTAAAGACCATCCTCCTTGTACAGGGTACAAAGTACAGTCTGATTTGCGCTACAGCAGACTACAAACAGTGGCCATAAATTCTCCCTCTCCTTGTATCCATGATCCTTTGTGCTGTAGCTCTGAGTGTCTCCCCATTGACTCCAAGCTCGGCCACGTGACTTGCTTTGGCCAAGGGGAAGTGAGCGAAGGTGACAGAAGCAGAGGCTTGAATGATGTCTGTGCATCGAGACTTACTCTTTCTTGCTGCTCTCTGAAACCCTGCCACCATGTGGCCAACTTCAGACTTGCTGGGGGGTAAGAGGCTGCACACACAGAGGCCCCAGCTGTCCCAGCTGAGGCCGTCA